GAGAAGCAGCTAGCCCTTGGAGTCAGATCCTGGGTCTGCCCAGCCTCCCTTCCCTGCCAAGGCTGAGAAAGGTTTGCATCATTTCTTTCCTGATTCCACACTGAGACTTGCCTCTTGTGACTCAGATTTACTGGATGACTCAGACTCTGCCCGGGACTGCTTCTGTGGGCCTGGAGCCCCACTCCTCTTCTCCAGAAGCATTGGAATGACACCGTTCATGGGACACAGACAATAGCCACCGTGAGATAATCACATTAGCACGTTAGGAGACAGCAAGTACAGCTGAGTGCTCCCTGTCCCCACTGCATCTGGGGCTTTCCGCATACACAGCCCCTCCCGTGAGAACTGTCGGGTCACTGGGGGTCTTTTTGACCTTAGATAATGGTGTCGATTTTAGTAAGCCGAAGCCCTAAGGTGATCTCCACGGAGTCACTCACCCCCTGAAGGAGTCGCTTCGCTAGCCTGTGCCTCAGTTTCCCTCTCTGCATCCGCCTGTCCCCAGTCTTCCAGGGCAGAGGAAAGGTCACGGGATTTAGCATCAGGCTCTGGCTGGTGACCTCCTCCAAGCAGCGCTCTTGTAAGTCTCAGCTGGAACTTCCTCACATGCAGAACAGGGACAGGACCTCTCTCCTCCCAGCCAGGTGGTGAAGCACCGAGTGTGAGGATGATAACCGCTCTGCAAACCGGAGGGCACTGTGGTTTGTTAAGGGCACCTCTCCAGTCCTCACTGTGGAAATCCGATGACTGCAATGACCGTGAACGTGATCTAGAGGGTGCCGGTCCGAGCAGACCACGCAGACGCATCATGTAATCCGGGGATTTATGGGGGCTGGTTGGCAAGGAGCAGTGATTGCTGCTTCGTGCAGCTGATATAGGACGACTTCTGTCAGTGGGGCTCTTAATTCAAGTGTGTCACAATTTCCTCTCTCCCTCCCTCCCTCTCCCTTCTGTTTCTTTCAGGCGTAAGTTGGCAGCAATCACTCTTAATGCGCCATTTGACTATATTCACCTAAATCTGAAGGTGAGGTTACAGCGCTAATTAGATTTCCTCTCCCATTGTGAGCTGGATCCCAGAACTATAGTTCCCAAGAAGCAGTTAAACAGGTTTGGGCATTTGAAAAAAAAAAAGGCTGGGGCCTGAAGAAAGCGCTTTTGGCCTCATTTCTATTTGGCTCACACCGTCCGTCCTGTTCCTGCTTAAATTTGGATCACAGGACGCATTTTCTCTGTTTCCTTCTCTCCTGTTCCTGGATCCCTGCTGCAGAATTGTAGGAAACATGGAGTTCAGGGTGCGTCAGCCAGAAAGGATCTCTCCCGTCCCAAGCAGGTCTGGGGCCCCGGCCCAGACACCACGTGTGCACCCTGCCTGCACTGCATTCCCACGGCGCCCGGCCACCTCACCCGTTTTACGGCTATTGTTTTCTCCATCATGGCCAGGATTTGGGGATTTTTCATTCTGCTTAGTGCCAGGGCTTTTTCTTTTCTCAGCCTGAAGACAGCCACCCTCGCTGCTCCCCGAGAAGCCCAGCCCCGCCTGTCACTGTGCCCAGGACAGATCTGGGGCTTGTGAATGAGGGTGAGTCCAGCCCCAGTGGAAGCGAGGACAGAAAAGAGCACAGAAGGCCACTGTTGGGCAGCTGCAGAGGGGGAGGGGTGGAGGCTGGGGGAGGGGAGGTCAGTCCTTCCACGCCAGCCACTGCCACCCCCGGCGAGGACAAGGTCACCAGGCAGGCGCGCCGCTCACACACAGCACGA